AGTGGAAATGAGCTCAAACAGCTAGAATCACTAGACTTTGTCCTTTTCAGATGCCATAACATTACGAGCAAAATCACGATGTTATAATGAGCACATCTAGGAAATTATTTAGCCTTTAAGATTTCCTCGTTCCATTATATTCTATAAAAAAAAAAGCGTTTTAATACCCACTATGAGAAAGTGCTTAATGAAAAATGCTTTTGTAGCACTGAAAGCAAGTGTCACGGTCTTTATAGCAGCTCTTACCTTATAAAATGTAAAATGTGCTTATGTAGTACATTGTGCACTTGCCCTGCTGAGTCTTGTTTTCCTGGCTACGTGCACTCTGCAGATCCCCTGCTCCTGTTGCCTACTGCAGTCACTTGGTGTGTCCCAGAGAGAGCTCTCCATTCATCAGACAGGTGTAGGGGGAGGACTGAAAGGTGTTGATGGTTGTGTTGGTTGGTTTTTTGCAGTTTCTTTTCTGCTAATGCACTGCCCTCCTGCCCCATTCACGTAGGGCTGTAACAGACACTTTGGTGATATGTGTGTAAGCTAGTCCTGTATCTGAGCAACTCTAGGAGTGCACGTTCAGTGCCCTGTCCCCCATCCTTTCTCTTCTGCTGAAGGAGAGCCACCAGTCTCTCTTTTATGCCAGGCTTGTGAATTCACTTCAAATGCAGAAGAACCAAAATATAGAGCTTTTTGTTGTTGTTTATATGGAAGTGCTTCCTGCTGTGATGCATGTTAGGCATTGCCTCAACTCTGTCCTGCAAAATGGTGCAGGAGACTGAGATTTCTGCCCCCTGCCTCCTGTGTACTTTACTCACTGGATTAAAGATAAAACTGAAGCTTTCCGAGGAGACTGGTTAGTCTTAAAATGAATGAATGCTGGGAATTAAAAGCAGAGAAGGTATTCCTGTTAAGAAGTAACTATTGAAATAATTGCATTTAAGAGTTAAAACCAGAAGTAAAAGGAAACCCTTTATCTAGAAGGTCTCACTGTACCCTTATCTTCTGAGTTGTTGCTCTGAGGATCACATAATTAAATTCATGAGCCCCTAGCCAAAGAAGAATGAAAGAACACAGTGGAAGATACCATCCCTTAAAAACACAAGCATTCCAGAAGGAGGCAAGTTCTTGTATAACTGGGATGAACTTGGCCATGGCCTTATGTCTTTTGTTTCCCTTTGTGATTGTGGCTTTCTGGCTTCTGAGATCTGCACACCAAGGAGTGGTTGTGACTTTATTTTCTGAAACTTACATCATAAATTAATGCGCTCTCACTTCTTTTTTTTTCTTTTTAATTCTAAAATAGTAAAGCCCAGTAAAGTCTCCTGGGGAAAGGGAGACGTGATCACCGGCTGAAGAGCGAGCTCTCTGCCTCTAAGGGCAGGGATTTGCTTTTCTCATCAGATAGCTTTTCCTCCTGTGAAGGGAGGGCAAGTCTTGCCCTGAAGCTTAAGATCCTCACCTCCTTGGTTTTGTGGCAGGCGAGGTTCGTGTCTCATGGCACAAGGTGAGAGGCAATATGCAGCCTGCTGCATAAGCATTCTTCTAATTGTGGAAAACGTAAGTTCCGAAATGCCAGGTGGAGAGGGATCTGTGGGGATTGCTGCACAGAGATGAGGAACTGCAGAGGGCAGCGATGGGGCAGGTGTCTGCCTTTCATTAGGTTATTCCCTGAGACACATCTGGTGCCAGCAGAACTGCTATTCCTAAATGATAAGGAAGCTCTGCAGGCAGGGGAGGGCTGAGCTGTCAGGTGAGGCAGGGATCAAGAATTACCGTGACAGTTTCATGGCACGTGAAAGATGCTGTGAAGTGCATCGTGGCTGCAAAGAGCAGGGGCTCAATTAGGCTTTCCCAGCCACGGGCTGACACGGAGTGTGAGCAGGGCCTGTGTCGTGCCACGCCGTGTGTACCAGGACGCGTTCTGGTCCATCAAACGTAAAATGACAACATCATTTGTAATCTCTCATTCCTAATTCCCATGGTTTTATGTCTGTGCCTCCCCTGCAGCATTCCTGCAGCTCATTGCTTTCTTTTCTTTGAGCTGCTTAAAAGTGAACTATACAACTCTCGTTTCTAGTAGCTAACTGAACTTTCTTACCTAAAACTTAATAAGAAAGAAAAATATGCCTTAAATGCGTGTATAAATGCCTAATTAGCCTTTACCTAACTATTTGCACTTATCACAGGTGGGTGCAGCCAAAGGACCTTGGAGTCACGTCCTCCTAGAGCTGAGCTGCTCTGTGCCAGCAAGCACTCAGCTCAAAAGATGTTGCAGGAGCTGCACAACTACATGCACATTTTCTTTCCCTTAGATTATTTAGAAGTTGCATTTGGCAATATTTAACCTTGCGTAATCAAAGAGAGGAGTGAAACATCCAATATCTGCTGATAGGAACCTGCCTGCCTGCAGTGCAGGCCTTGTCTTTGCTCCACATGTCCAAAGCTTGCTGGGGGTGAGCAGCCGCTCCTGGACACTCCAGGGATTCACAGCACATCAACTCCGTTTTGCCTGCACGGTAACACAGCACAGCGCAAACACGGGGTGACCTTCCTTGTGATCTCATCTCAGGCTGAACCTGTGCCACAAAGCTGTTGTTCCGCTCTTCCCTGCTGGCTCTCCTGCAAGGCCTGAAACTCCGCAGTGCCACCGGGGCCTGGCAGCTCTGTGGGTACGAGCCAGGGCATGGTGCTCACACTGTTTTGTCCCAAGCATCTGTTTCAGGCAGCAAAACCTAAATCTGTAACCCAGATGTTCTTCCAGTCACACCCTCCCTGCTATTTATTTATTTTTATTTTTTTTAAATTTTATTTCCCGTGGAAATATTTAGCATATTAAAGAGGTATTTTACTGTCTTTTTTATGCACATGCTGCACAACGGTGAAGGCTTCTTGAAAGTTTTCTTACAAGTGGATTCCCACGTGGTAGCTGTTAGTCACAGCTAATTACAGAGACTGATGAAGGAAGACTGTAGGGGAACTCAGGTTCCCCTCCTCCTCCCTCAGTGTTAAGCGTAACATAAAATAAAAAACCTGCAGATAAATGGAGGCTTTTCTGTGGTTGCAGTCTCCAAAGAGCTCCAAAGAGATCACAGATGTGGTTTCATGTTTCAGGTTTAACTATGGTATAATAACTAAAGTACTATCTGCAGAAGAAATGCAAGTGGGGAAAGAATCATTAATTGATAGTGAAAAGTTCAATCTGTGAGCTGTGTGTTTGTTTTTTTAAGCAGCTGAATGTTTAGCCAAACTGTATTTTAGCTTTTAACTGCAGCCCCGAGGGCTACGATCATCTTGATATGTTAAATCCTGGGAGCATGATAGGAAAGGAAACATTCGTACCTCATTTGGACTTGTTTCAGAAGGGTGAATCATAGAAAAGCAGGAACACCTGTAATTTAGCTGAGGTGAAGGCACGTGCTTCAATATTATTTCAATTGTGTGTAAAGCTAGTCTGCAGCGTGCTTGCCTTACTTCACACTGTAAGACCTTGTCTCAGCATTTCACTGGGTGCAGAACAAGCCAGCAGTGAGAGCTGGAGTTGCTTTGCTATGCATGAGGAACCCATAGCTTACCTAAAACGCTTAATGTTTTCCTGTCTTTGTTGCCATTCATCCAACGCCCAGGAAGTCTACAAGATCGACAGAGTTCCTGTGTGCAAGTAGCATGGCTCAGCAGGACCGCATGGTGTCTGTGACTGGGGCATCAGCCCGTCTTGCACTGTGCTGCTGGCTTTCAGGAATTCAGAATATACTTAAAACTATGCAAACTCCTCATTGGTCAAATGACTCTCCCAAACAAACAACTTTAATTGCAAAAAAAGTAAGAATGAAGTAGAGACTCTCTCAACAGGAAATTTCCACTTGGATGTATATTTGGTATTGAACGTCTGCATAATTTAGAGGGTGCAGGAGGCAGATTACATAATGAAGTGATGTAAAACTCATAATGATCTTTTTCCTATTTAACGGGTATGCTTTCCTGCAAGGTTTATTTTTAGACTGAAAATTTTCAGAACTACAGCACAAAGAAGACTACAAGGGTAGGTTGAACTGTCTAGGGTCTTAGACAGAAAATGAAGCAACCTAGTCTAATAGTTACCTAGATTCTAGGAAGTAAAACTTCCTAAATGAAAACTATCAAAAATATTGCACTATTTAATTACACAACAATAACACAATCACACAACGTGTTCACATAACAGCTGTGAACATCATTAGGATCGACTGTGCTATGGATGTAGCTGATCAGAGGGGCTGTATTGTATTATACTTGCATCAAAACCACTCGCTTCACTGGTGCATGTTGAAAAAGCACTCCTTAAAAGTAAGCTTTTTATTATTACACATCTGGCTTGATGGATAAACAACTGTCCCAGAGCAGCACTGTGATGGGGAAAACTTAGGATCTCTGTTTTTCTTAGGAAATCCTAAATGAATTGTAGGTGATAAGATCTCCTTTAAAAAGTTACTGTGAGGCTAAACATTGATCGGGATCTCTAGGAGGCTCAGGAGTTAAGCCAAGTTATGTGAAAGTGTTATGATATTGAAAGTACTGGGCAAAGGAAGTTTGACTTCAGAGTGCTTATAACCACAGTGTTATATGGCCTTCCTAATGAACTCTTTTCTACTCAATGTTTTTTGCTTTAATTATTCCTTACCTCCAAAAACTTGATTTTTGTTTGTTTTTATACGTAAGATAAGGTAGGAGTTCTTACATTTAAACATCCCTAAACTTAAATTCTAGTTATAGCTTTGTTACTTTAATGTTTTTCTCTCTGGTAGATAAAGGCCATATACTCTTGAGATACAAAAGAGCATAAGATAGTAATTTTAATTCAAACATACAGATTAATGTGTGTGTGTATTTCAATTGGTTTGCTTTAGGGGCTTCCTCGTTGAAAAGGTTGTTTGCAATTCTGTAGTGCAGAACTTGTTATAATCCAGGAAAAAAACGGAGAAGAGATTTTTATTTTGCACTGATGCAGTTCATCTTATTTTTCCCCAAAGGACACCGTGGTTTAATGGATGGGGCTTTAACCTACCCAGAGGTCAGTCTTTGCTAGACAAGTGGAACCTTATCCCTGAGGGCATTGATATACTAATGACACATGGACCTCCCCTTGGTAAGTGAAACAAAAGCTGTGTGAGATTCCCCCCCCCCCCCGAGAATTTTACCTTCAAATAACCACAATTATTAATACTGTAAGATTTATTGTAACTGCATGCTAACTCAGGGCTGTGAATTAAAGCCTTTTGGTAAGAAGTGCACAGAGATGATTAGGGTTAGCAGAACTGTTGAGCTTCCAGGTGTTTTTTTTCAATTACATTTTTTGTTTCGCTCAAACAAGGGAATATCAAATATCTGATTCCACAGCCGTGAGAGTTTGACATTTCACTTAAGAACATTATTCATCTTGCACTTTCCAATCCCATATGATTTTTCAGAGATTGACTAAAACTTCTAAAACATTTTCCCAACTACTATGACATGTTTCTTTAAGGTTTGAGAGTATGCAGTCAAAAGTTCAAGAGTATACCATCACATACTCTCCTTGACTATTTCCTTTTAAACTTAATAATATCTTTAAAACTACTCTTGCATATTCTAGTTGACTTATAGTAAACTCATGAAGCAGTAAATTTAGGCCCTCAGATCAATCTGTGAATGCATACTTCTTTTTTTCTTTTTTTTTCATGAATTAGTTGAAGTCTTCTGTTTAGTTTAATTGTGCTCTCTGATCTCCATGCTTGTTCTGTGATAAACAGAATTCTCAAAAAGATGCTGAGATGCTTGCTCAGCAGAGGCAAGAGTGCTTGGTTTGGGGCACATCTAAAGTAATTAACGCCTACGTTGAATGATTTGAATTTTTTTTTCCCTATCCTGTAACCTCACGAGATACTATTACACATTATTTACTGCTTTCCTTTAAAATACACATGGTGAGGAGTCTAGAGTCATATCTTTAATATTTCAGTCAGTTTTAAAACAACTGAGCAGCTCCCTTTTTTAAATGTGGCTTCTGAGGATGAGGAAGCATCAGCCTCTTATTCATTACTTCTAATAGACTGTAATTTTGTCATGGTTCTAGTAAACCCAAAGGGTCAGGTGTAATCTCAATTACAAAATCTGAGATGTAATCTCAATTCTGTGATGGTAGTGACTTTAAAGTCAACAAACAACCCCCACCAGTAACCTGGATTGCATAGTGCCATTATAAAGCAGCATTTAAATGCTACCTAGCTGGCTCTGTGTTCTTGCAGAGTTTCACAGTGAGTATGGAGTCAGGAATTAATGCATGGCTTATGTATTGTGTCACAGCGATGTTAATAGTCAGCAGTCTATGCAGAGCTAAGGAACAGAAGGAGAAAAAAAGACCTTTTTGACTAACAATGTACTTAAACTCTTCTGATATCTTGGTAACTAACAGCTCTTTTCATACTCTTAAGCTAACTAGGGCTACCTGTGTTCCACTTTGATAAAGTAGTGATGCACCATCCACTGACAGTGGAACACACTGGATACTGAAAACCAACACCTTGAACAGCCCTCTTTTAATCTGTTTCTTTTCCCAAAGAAGCAAAAAAAAAAAAAAAAAAAAACCAACCCACAAGCACTTTCATAGTGTTTCATAGGTACTGTTTTAAAAGGGTTGCTAATCCTTCTGCTCTGAATTGCTTTTGTATAGAAATACTTTGATGCTATGGATGCTAACGAATGTTTTAATTGAATACTCATTGCCTGCTGTTGGTGACTGGGGACTCAGAACAAGACTAGCACTTGCAGACCGTGTTCCTCTGAAAGTTGTTGGGAGACTGTATTTTAACTCTTGGAGGTGGCAGCAGCTCTCAGGTTGTACAACAGCTGATCTTCCTCAGCTACTTTGTTCTGGAGCAGCCACTTTGCTGGCTTGGGAAGGTGACTGCTGTGAGAGCCAGGGGAAAGGGAAGAAAAATCAGCAGCGATGCCGGGAATAAATGTTCCAAGGTTTCAAGGTGGAAGATGAGTTTAAGCCTATAGTTTAAAAAAACAAATCACATCCAGAAAAATATCACTGCAGATGGAGGAGGGTGATCTTGAGGAAGACAAAGTGACAGTGAAACGCTTCTTAAAAGCCATTGTGTGCTTTAATGGAGAGGTTACGACTGCAGATAATGTAATAAACCTTCAGTGAATTATGACTTCCTGAAAGACTGTGTGAAACCTTACCTGAATAGAGAAAATTAATTGTATTGATTGCATTTTTTGCCTGCAGGTTTTCGAGACTGGGTTCCAAAAGAGCTGCAGAGAGTTGGCTGTGTGGAACTGCTAAACACAGTGCAAAGGCGAGTAAGGCCCAAACTCCATGTCTTTGGTGGGATCCATGAAGGTAAGGAGCACTGCTTCTCTGCCCTTTGATCTGAGCCTGGTTCCAAAGAAGCACACATCAACTGTGCATTGCAAAGGATGGGTAATGACATATTGGACTAAAGTAGAGAGGGAACTGAGGGAAGTGATTGCTCACACGGCACTTTGTAAATTTATGCCAGAATTAAAACAGGCTGTTTCAGGAACGTGTGCCGCATTTCGCCACCTACATCTCTCACTGTGCAAAGGTTGTTCTATACAGGTTATTGGAAAGCAATTTAAATTTTGACAAACGTAGCTAGAGAAACAGATGAGATTCCCCACACATGCAAGCCAAAATGAAACTTAGTCCAATTATTCCAAGTGCAAGAGCCAAGAAAGGTGCTAGAAAAAAAGAAAACTGAAGACAACTTACTGTCTCAGCTCACCTCCCTCAGCATGTAAGGAAAAGCAGAAAGGAGGGCAGATATCATTGCCAGAACTCACTTTGCATGCATTTCTAAAAGCATCCTGTGATACGGTTCATAATGTGTGTTACCTTACAGCAATCTCACATATAAGAAGAGATATTCTCATAATCAGTTCCAGATCAGAAACAAAAAGCTGTTTGTTGGCAGTGGGAGGGAATGAGAGAATTTTGGAGACATTTAAATATTTAAACCAATTCTGTAGCTTTTATGTGCCCGTGAGACAAATATAAGGAAGTTTGCCTGAGAGAGAGAGTGTAAGTCTTTGTGATGCATTAAATGCTTTACACTCCCTCCAATCTGCAGATTTCTGCACTGTTTCTAATTAGGTTCTCCATCAGCTCACAGATTTGGAGAACTTCACAAAAGAGGGGAAAAAAAAAAAAAGGACAGCTTTGTCAACTAGTACTGTTGGTTTTACTTAAGCCCTTGTGACATTATGAAATTGATTTTATTCCTGGTTTATAAAGATCTGTAAATCAGTAGTTTTTAAGGGAAATACTGACGTGACTTTAAGTAGCATGTTTGCTGTATTAGAATGCTCCCAGGAAAACTGGATATTTTGTAAAAATACCAATCCTTGCATACTGAGAGTAAGTGAATACAGCTTCCAGCTAAAACACAAAAATGGTCTGCAGCTTTTGTAAGCACACTGGATACTGACATTTTCAGTTGCAATAGGAGAGAAAGGTATTTTAATGTACAAAATTGTTATGAGAAAGCACTGAGTGACCATATGCAGCACCTTACATTTAAATCTCACATGAAAGGTGGTAGCACATGTTGAAAGTGAACATTCAAATACATTCTTACAAGAATACTAAAAAAGTTTAAAACCTGTTTTAGTATTTATGCAGAAGACATAGGAATGGCCTGCTTTGGTACAGAAAGAAATAAGCAATTGTTAAGAGCATTATCCTGCAAAACAATTAATTCTCATCCATCTCTAGCTTAGATGAACACAGACTACATTCCATTAAATCAAGGGAGGCTACACGCATTCTGATCGTGCCTGTTTTTTTTCTGGTTGATAAGTAAAAACAGCCACAAACAATGTTTTTCCCACCACGAGATGATCTAAATCAAAATAGCTAGTCCAAATAAATAAAGTGCAGCAATTCTGAAGTGATTATTCTTTGTGATAGAAACTGTGGGTAGCTGGATTTATCTTAGCTTTCAGACAGCAGTGATCTGTACTGTATCATAATGGTTTAAAAGAAAAACATTTTTCCCCTGTGGGTTAGCGGTGGGAAGTTCTCTTCCTCTATGAACCTCTAATAAAAAAAAAGTGCATTTTGTGCCAAATTCTTCCCAGTCTTGTTCTAGTTTCTTTGTAAGCTCTCAGTGGATGTCATCTGAAAACAATGGATCTTATGCACCGATGGGACTGGAGCTCTATCTCCACGTCCTTGAGAGAATGTAAGAAGAGACTCTTCTCTGCTTTTGCACAGGGAGAAATTCATGTTCTCACATCATAGCATAACACACTGGCTTAATGAAGATTCAGGTGTGACTCTGTTCACGAGACACACATAGTTTGTTCCACTTGCCCAAAATTCTACACGTGTGCAGGCCACTGCTATATCCCATCCTATAACTGTGTGGCAAGTGGAAGAGGTGATGCAGGCTAGGAGAGAGGAGGCATTACTGCTGGTTCCTCAGATTTGTCCTAAACAAGAGCACTGCTGGCCAGATGTTTAGGAGGCTGAGAAGTCTCCAGCCTCCTGAAACTGATGCCGTGGTGTTACTGCGGAGTCAAATCCTTGACATGTTGAAAAATCCTGTGATCAATATTCACTAATTCTTGCTTTATTTGGGAACAAGTTGTCAACATCCCTTCACAATGAAAAGCAATCGTCTGTTTAACTCTCACCTCAGTTTCCTGCTTAAGCCAGTAGTTATTCATTGACCTCCAGCACTCTACTGTGCTTACAGCAAGAGATTCCTTTCCTTAGTCATGATTTTCACTGGTCTTTTTGTGAAGAATTTAATCTCTTTGTGTTCCTGTTAAGTCTATTCTTACATTTGAATTCTCTTGCCTGTTAGGCTGCTGTAACTGCAGCCTCCTTTTGAGTCAGCCAGTCTCAGCTCTGTGTGAAAGCCTCTTAGAAGCAAACCATACCTGTATTTCACACTGCTGGTTAGTCCCACTTATTCATGCAAACAAGTACTTTGCAGCAGCATTTATGAGTGGGACTCATAGAACCTCAGAGTAACCTGAGCTGGAAGAGAGCTACAAGGATCATCCAGTCCAACTCCTGGCTCTGCACAGAACCACCCCAAATCCAAACCCTACGTCCAAGTGCTCCCTGAACTCTGGCAGCTTGGGGCCATGCCCAGGGCACAGTGTTCCAGTGTCTGACCACCCTCTGGTGCAGACCCTTTCCCTAACCCTCCTAACAGCTCCATGCTGTTCCCTCGGGCCCTGTCTCTGTCGCTCCGCTCCCTGTGAGGAGCTGCAGCCACCATGAGGCGACCCTCAGCCTGCTCTGCTCTGCACTGAGCAAAGCCAGGGCCCTCAGCTGCTCATGCTAATAGATTTCTGATGTTTCGTGACCCAGTGTGAACGCGAGCTTGGCAGTCGTGCAGTGAGGACCTGTATGATAAAGGCTATCATGGGAAAAGCTTACGAGGTTTCATTTATTGCCCAGAGAGGGCAATGATTTTTGTAGATTAAACGGAAGTGACTTCTAAATCTCTTGTTCCTTACTGTTTCTTTTATTATCTGACAGGCTTTACAAGCTTGCAAAGTACAACACACTAATTAAGCAATTAGAAATAGTGCATGTGTGGTTTTGTCTCTGGTTTTGCTGTAACAAATTGCAGCAGAGGATTTTCTGTGGGAAATTGCGTGTGCATAAAACAAAAGCTTCAGTTCTCATTTCAAATACAGTATATTGTGCTTTTTCAATCAAGGCTTTGTGGCAGCTTTCAAGAGCTTATGTCATTTTGAAGGGATTAATATAATTTTATTCCAAAGCATTGATCTCACAACAAGCTTTCGGTGCAGCTGCCCATGGGCAGCATCGTTTGTTTATATTACAGTAAGTGTGACACATTGTCCCTACAGGTTATGGCATTATGACAGACGGTTACACAACGTACATCAATGCTTCAACGTGTACAGTCAGCTTTCAACCAACCAATCCTCCAATTATATTTGACCTTCCAACCCCTCAAGGATCATGAAGCACTGCTGCACGTTTGGAACTGAGGAAGGTCTATAAACTGCCATTTTCTAATTACAATACTTGCATTCTGTTACATGTTTATTTCAAAATTTTTTGTGGGGGGCATTTTTGGGAGGGAGAGTTGAGGGGTTTTTGTTTTGGGGCGGGGTTTTTTTTAGTAAATTGCTGGTGCAACGAAACAAGACGAAAAGTTAGAGGTTGTGCTTTTTGGAAATGCAGCGTTCATTTGGAATCGGACAAGCATTGTGAATTTGTAAAATTAATTTTGTTTTTCAATAAACTGCCATTGTAAATTGTTATAGTGTTCTCAAAAGGACAGCCAAGCTTTCTTTTAAGAAGTGAGAGACCTTATTTTAATATTATATGATAAGCTAAAAAAAAAAATAGGCAGCATTTAAAAACACCCAAATTTGCACAACTTTTGTTAATGTCGGGTTTTTTTTTTTTTCAATGTCTTCTTTTCCCTGTGGTCTAAATGTTAGCTTTTCATCTCTCCATTTATATTCGTTTTTCTTCCTTTCTTTTTTACCTTTTTTTTATAGCATAGACAAGACTTTGGGGTCCATTTGCCTCTTGATATGTGTGCGTGTACTGAAACTTGTTTCTGTTCACAGTAAAAATGCAGCGAGGGGAGAATAGACTTCTCAGTTGTTTGTTTGTCACTACCTGCTTTGTACGGTAAAGAATGGTATAGATAGCCAGGTCTGTATGTGATATCTGCCTTTTATTGTTTGTTTTTAAATTATTTTAGCTTTAAAAAACTGGGAATGAAAGCTGCAAAGAGCAGGCGTTTCATGCAGTAAAAAAAATAATGTAAATGCGGACTCCTTTTAAATATGAATTTATATATATATGTATTTTTTGTGCATTATAACTAAGCTAGGATTTAATATTGCCAGTATAGCATCTGCAAAATTATGCTGTACAGCACATCTAAATTATGAAGGATGTGACACATTTTCCAAGTGCTCAAGGCCTTCCAGAGCCTGAGTTCAATCTTTGTTGTAGTTCAGGCATGTATAGAGTCAAATGGATACAATCGAGCCTAACTAAAATAAGGCTTAGTTGTCCTTTATATTTAAATATTCTTCTTGTCTTTTTATTTCCTTTTTCTTATTTTGCACTGTGTGTAAATGCAATCTTGCTAGCACAAAATACTGTTGCAGATAGTTATTTCTGTTCTACCACTGTAAATGCTATTGAGCTTTGTTCTGTTTTATGTTAACTTGTTAATGGAATTTAGAAAGCAGTTGTTTCTTTAAATTTATTGTGATATATCTAGCGGCCTTTATATGCAAATAAAATTGCAAGATTTTTAAATATGTGGTTTAAGGGAATTTTACATTTTTCTGTGGCATGAACAGCTGGGGGTGCAGCAATAAGTAAGAACTTCTCTAATTCTCAATAAATTTTTATGGCTTTACCATTCTTAGGATGTCAGCTGGGTCGATAAGGCACTCAGAATTTTCCTCTCATTTCTCTGCCATCCATCCTTCCATTCCTTTTAGACAGAAGATTTTGTTTTCAGGTTACATAATTCAGAGCAACCAGGTTTGCACGGTTAAGCCTTGTAGGATATTGTTTTAGATGACACAAGGAAAAATGGATTAGGTACTAACCTGTGTACTTGTTCGTTAGTACTGAGCTGCAGGTGCTTTAGGCTTATCCAGTGTGGGTTAAGAAATGAATAGTCATAGATAAACATAGATAAATAAAATGGATTTTTATTTGAATCTGTTCTCAGTTCCGTGGCTGCAGATAATCCATAAATGGCAAGAGAACTTCTTGAGGTTATGGTTCATTGTATGCCTACAGAATGACAAACACAATGGAACCTGCTGGTATTGTGGCAATGCAGCTAAGTATTTAATAACAGAATCTTCTTTTCAAATAGCACTTACTGCTGTGAAAATGTAGTTTCAAAAAAAGAAAATAAAGTGTTTCCACAATTCTGCACCTGCAGTAGTGTGAATACAAGAAATGAGGAGGGAAACAGCTTTCCCATTTGTCTTAGTAAGTTGACAACTATTAAGCCTCCTGGTGATATTGAAATCTTATTGTAACCAAAGATCAGTTCTTCATTTTGGGTGTCAGCTCAGAATCTTTTCTTTTGTCAGTCAGCAATGGTAGAATAGAGAGCTGGTTTTCTCAACCACACCTGTTTACTGACAAAAAACTATATGTTTAAGAACATCTATATTTAACATGGCTGTCCTTCCTCAGATAAAGCTTATTCTTGGAGGACAAAAAAAAAACAAAAAAAACCACCAAACACAACCTTACATATAATGCACCCTGCGTTATTCTCTCTCACTGGTATTTTGTTTGTTCTTATCACATAAGGAGGAAGGATCCATTTCCTGGAATTCTTCACTGTGCCATGAGCTTCTAGAACAGAGCCATTGCACCTGGATTGCTCTCCAGCCTCCTGATGGACCTGGCAGCTCTTCACTGCATGCGTGTAGCTAGGACAGGTGCAGTCTGTGATGCAGGTCTGTATTCACCGCTGCAGGTATTTGTAGTGAAAACTGAGTTATTAGTCCTAAAGCTACAATTTTGAGTCAGCAGGTTTGCTCAAGGATTTGAGCAGCCTGAAGCCTTCTGGCAACAATCAGATAAATGAAGGCTGGCAGAAGTGCAGGAGTATGTCTTGAGTAAGGCTGGTAGTGAGGAAATTCCAGGCAACTTCTTACAGACACAGAAGTCTGTACCAGGCTCTGCAATAGGCAAGCTGTGTATGTTGTAAAGGTTTGTATCTTTTAGTTTCACGTATTTGCCTTGCAGCTTTTTGGCCATGGTGTGTAGCGGATAGAATCAGGTTGTCCTGCATTGGAATAGGAGGGCCTTTATTTGTAACAGCCTGAGACTTTTCCCACTTAGATGAGCATCAAGGACAGTCGCTGCTTCATCATCAAGCGATGTTGATGGTGAATGCACATGTTCATTTAGAGAAATATGTATTCTTCAGGAGTACTTTCAAAGTGTTTTTTCCTCTTGTATGTTTTTTCTCTGGCTCCATCAGCTTCACCATCCTTACAGCTGTTTTTCATCAGTTGTTCTTCTCCATGGTGGGATCTCTTCAATTTTATTTTCTCCTTTTCCTTCATGATTTTAGAAGTTGATCTAGCTTTTCCTCCTGTCTCAGAAAGGCAACATTCTGGTTCTGAGCAGTTACAAAAAGGCCAGAAAAACATTTGCAGAGATATTTTGGTGTTTTTTTCTTTCTGTACTCTTTAGAGTCTTTGAAATGTATATGTGTCTATCTGCTGTCAGAGGCAGGTAATTTTCCTTTGCTGGATGTCAGCCTTATCTGACAATCAGCGTAAATAGGGCACAGTATGATTTGAAGAAGTACTGTGTCACAGGGAGGCAAAACTGCAATGAATCTGCTTCTTTTCAAGGATTCCTCACTACTAAAAGTAGCTCAATATCCATACGCGGTATCAAACTTGGATAATAAGTCTTCCTCTGAGATCTGATCCAAGTCCATTGAACTTGCTAGGAGTCATTCTATAGACTTCAGCTGGCTTTGGATCATACAGCTGGCATCTATCTGGATTGTTTCTGTCTATTACTCATCCTTCATACCGGAGGAAATGGTGTGTCCCTGGTTAACATGCAAGAACCTCTTGGCAGGAAGAGGAACCTACCTATTGTAAGTGCTGAATCTTTCCAAGTGATTGATTAATGGCAGTGTAGTCGATTAACCTTTCTTCTTCTGAGAGCAGCTTTCATCTAGTCATCTCGCTAAGGCTGAAAGCAGTCAAGGCCTTTATCAGGGGAGGGCTGTGGAACTGTATGCTCCCCTGAGGTGATTGGTTCCCAATTCACTCTGCATAGTGAATTTAGTGAATTCAGCAGACCTTGAGGTCAAGCATTTATTAGGCTAAGAGACTGTCAAATCAATCTGGTCTACTCCAGGCAAGTTCTACCAGGAGAATGGGTTCTGCCAAGACTGTGTCTAAGAAATAGATTGATGGCTAACTCCTGGTTGAAGCTGCCTTTCTCTTTTCCATTTTCCGTGAATCAGAATTTTTTTCCCCTCGCTGACACCAATATTTTCTCTCTAGACAAATTTTATTAAGGAAACTCCTGGAAATCATCCATAATTTAAGGTAGAGGGAGACATCCAAACTCTGCAGTCCTTCTATTTGGTGTTAAATTGACACAAGGGCCGAGACCTTGCTTTTGACCACACATGATTGAATTACACTTCTGGAATATTCTTCCCTTACCAACAACCTCCCTTCTTTTTTCTTTTCTTTCTTTTTTTTTTTCTTTTTTTTTAATTTTTCTTTCTTTTTTTCTCCAGCATACTATCTGCTAGTTTAAAGTCAGGTAGGGATTCTTATTCTCCTTGCCTGCTCTGACCAACTTATTATTAGAAGTGCATCAATTAAGGCATGTGCAGGAAAGCCTGCAACAAAGAGCAGTGTGTTTTATCTTGCCCCTGGCTTCAGGTATAGATCCTAACTTCCTTACAGATTCCTCATTTGTAGTAACCAGTCTTTTATGCACTGTCTTTGTTGCTAATTGACATTTACCCACTAAGCAGATTAAATCTTCTTATGACCAGGTGTAGACACCTGCTTCAGCTCTTTCAGCCCTCACAGGACACCCTATGCACTTTGGCAGAAAGTCCTAGCCATCAAAGCACTGTCTACCCTCCCAAGGCACAGAGAAAAGGACTCTTAATAAATCACTGTAGCCTAAGCAACGTGGAAGACTAAGTTGGGTTTTAACATTTTCAACTTCAGTTCCTGTCAGCCTAATCAAGAGAAAATGCAAGAGAAATCTGAGAGAGTTTTAGTGCACTGAATCGGATTTCAGTCATCCATATTGATTTATTTTTCTCCATCTCTCTATCACTTTCCATGCCTTCATCTCTGGTTTGAGCCAGAGCCAGCCAACTTTCTAATGATTCATTCATGACCTGGCTCTAAGGATACATCTTGTTTTGTTCTACTCTCAGTTTTGCTGAGGACGTTTTCCGCAGGCTCAGTTTGCTTTCTGTTGGTTGTAGCATAGAACTGGAGAAGTCCTTCATTTCTTCTAGGGAACATTTTCCTGCAATTCTTATTGCACATTTATAGCCACTTGCTTTGTACCTAAAGTTTGCATTCACAGGAGGTGGTCTGACAAGAGCATTTCCCTCAGTATAGGATAACTGAGTGAATGTCTTCCTCAAGGTGAGGTTGGTGTTATGTACCACCTAGGTAAATGGCTCCGAGGTACAACAGGATTTGTCAGCTGAGGAGTTTGGACTGAAAGGCTTCTAGGAGTTTAAGACTTTTAAACTACAGAATATTCAAAAGTAGGCTTGAAAATGTGGAGTTAAATGTCTGAAATAAAAGACTTGGTCTTCCTCAAATCTCAATAAAAGCTATTCTTCTACTAATGTTAGTGTGACAAAAACATGTAAGTATTGCCAAGGGCATTCTGTGATGATTTTTCTGTTAGAAAAGAACCAACACAAAATGTTTAATTTTTTTGCATACAGTGTACAGTTCTCTTCACTGTTCACTGCCATGCAAGTATTTCAGCAAAATATTTCTACTGGCTGCAGGGGGTCGGTCACTCTGCAATTGGAGGAAGAGTGTAATTTTTCTCTTTCCTTGTTGTTGTTAATTGTGAATACCTTGTGTCAGCATGGATCTGATTTGTCTGGGAGCTCATAATACACACAGCAAGAGATCACCCATGCTGTAAGGCTGAATCTAGAAGGACAGGTTGCTGTAAAGGTAGGAGAAAAGGAATATCTTGACTTCACAAGTTGAAAACTGACTTGCCTAAGATCACACAGCAGATCTCATGTTCTTAACCAAGTCTGCATCTCTCAAACTGTTTTGATGACAGTTTTCCATTTTTTACACTTTCCTTTGGAAATAAGTAGAGAAACCAATTCCTTTGTTTCCCCAACAACAAAGCTGCTGCTGTGATAATCATCCCTGGATCCTGGAACACAGAATGACAGGGGAGCCTTCTTTCAGCTAGACAGAAAACAAAAATCAAAGCCAATTCCTGCATTTTTAATCAAACCAGGATACAATGAGGATGAACGGGTAAAACCAGGCTCCTGGTAATAGAGCAAGCAATCTTTGTTAGATGCACAGCAAAAAACCTTATCAATCATCTTAAAGTGCATCTTGTGTTTTTTCTTCAGCAGGCAAATAAGTGATGAATTAGCTTACTTCAAACTCTCTGAAGATCAGCACTAGCATAGATTCTTTGAAAGATCTGAAGCAGGTACAAAATCTTTATGTTACTTTAAGACATAGACTACAGCTGTGTCAGTAAGACCACCTTGTTATTGGCTTTGTGTTATGAGGTATCTAGAGAGTTTTGAAAACTGCATATTTGAACATCATATTGACGCTGAAGCTTCTGGCTGAAGTCCAACTCAGACTGGGGGAATGTAGCAGCTCCTAAGAGGAACTAAATTGTATTGATTAAGGCTTCCTAATCAGCAGAACTTCTAGTACAAAGTGCTACTGAATTTACTGGAGACTTAAAACTACAAAATACATGGACTTATTATCCATAATCAATTATACTAGACATAAAACTTTGAAATTCAGTAGTTACAGCTGCTTAAAATGAAACTCAGTGTATTTTTGTCTTTGATTGGGATTTCTGTTACTGAGGCTAGATTTTCAGATATCTTTAGGTTACCAGCAGCATTTGTAATACATTATTAGACACTGCATCTTTGGTGGCATTTAAATCCATCACCCTACAGTATCTAGAAGTATGGAAAAAACCTATTTTTGTGTCGATTCCTGTGCAAAAAAAATCTAATTGATTGCTCTAAGATTACTTTTGTAAAATTTTACTAAGTTACCAGTTAGATTTAAACACAGTGGATAGCTGCAGATTAAAATTTACCATTCTTACTTCTTACTGTAATGTCCTGCAGCAAATAACAGATTATGCAGGGACTCTCCCAGGAAAACCTCAGCTTCATCTCTGTGACAGCAGTGCTCAACCAAGGCTACGACCTGCTTGAGTTGGTGTTACGTATCCAGTGTGAGAGTCCTTTTAGTGTGGAGCACACAGCAAGCAAGAATCAGGGAGAGCAGGAACCAGGTAACAGTGTGCTGTTCTTACTGTTGGAGGAGCTATGGGACAAAAAGCAAAAGCAGTTACGTAAGTAACCTGTGGCCAAACTAAGCATAGAATCCTTATTTTCTGAACATGCAGTTTGCAGCTGTTTCATTCCTCCAACTTTTTATTTGTAAAGGTCTTAGAGTAAGAATTAGCTGGTTCCCTGGTCCTAACTTAGTTAGGATCCTGGAACTAATTAACAACAATTATTTACATACGTTACTTGCTTATACTTTTCAGAATTAGTAGTGTTCCCATGCTTCAGGCAAGATGCATGCTGGTTTATTTAGACAAGCAGTATTTTATTCCTTGTTTACTGAAATCTTTCTTTATTTTCTGATAAAGCTTACGAGGGTATGTAGCAAAGTGACCAGGGTAAGAACAGTTTTAAGTCCATCACAGCTCAGATGTTTCTATGCATCTGTGAAGTGTTTCACAAAGTTCAGTTCCTTGGGTAGGAGTTGTTCTTTGTTGAAACATTAATCCCAGTTTATTTTTTTCAGACCAGTCAGTAGGACTTCTATACACCATGCAATAATATTTTTTTTCTTAAGCTATGTTTTGATAGACTTAGCTCCCTGATGTAAAGACATGCTTGAACAATGAGGGAAAGTAAACAGCATGGTTGCTCTGATGATTTAGCTTTCTGGCTTTTATATGGAACAAGAGGAAAGCTGGTCGGGTGTCAGCAGTCATTACATTTTGTCTGTGATGTGCTTTCCCAGCACGCTGGCACATGTGAGGCTGCTTTCTAACTGCTAAAACAGACTTTTCCAAGGAACAAATTATCTGTCTGGAGTGTAGTGTAGTGACCCTATGCAGGCAACCACAGCTGTAGCCTTCAGTGGCTTCAGGAGGATCGTGTGTCCTGGCCAGAATATAGATATAAAGACCATTTAAGCTGTAGTAGCATTATTCATCATGAAAAGCTTGGCCAAATAACAAAAATACCTCTGGTTTTGTTGCTAGACAATTTTAAGAGGATTTTTACAGTAATAAATTAGTCTTGCATGGTTACAGAACTGCAGTACATAGTTTCAGCATTTCTATGGATTTGATTCTGTGAATGTAGTGATATGGTCATTTGGGTAGGGATGTAGGGCTGGGTGCTGTGCTGAAATGCCTGATGAAGGAGGAACGCTTCTGCTTCAGTCTAACAAACCTACAGCCCAAGAATGAAGCACTGGTATTACACTGGTAATATTTAAAGGGAGGCAACACAAAATTTATTTCTTCTTACAACTACATTTTCATATATATTATTTTTTTTAATGTATCATTTCTAAAGTAAATTTGACCAGCAGCAGTTACATCGAATTTAGAAATGAACATGAAACATGGTACCTGTGCCAATGAATCATTTAGTTACTGAAAGACTTGTTTAGCTTTTTCTGGCCTCTAAAATCATTCTGTAGCTGTGCTGCTGCTGTTTGTTACGATGGCTATAGGCCGATCCTGTGGTGGTAATACGATACATCCAGAGAAAGAGGGATGTGCTCTGCCATCCAGGTCAGCTGGTTCTTTTCCCTTTGAGACAAGATAGTAGCTCTTCGTAGCAAATGAAGCCTCTCTAATCTTCAACCATTGTCCATTTACACATGAGTAAATAGGTTAAACTGTTCATAAAATGATAGAATCGTACCAAAGAGTAATACAAAGTGGCAGCAGCAAAACTGAAAAGCAGTCCATTATATTCTGCTCTGGCTAGTGCCTGCCACCATACCAAAGACGGAGTACGGTACTGGATAACGATCAGGTTAATGGACATGGGGAAATAGGGTAATTCAGAGGAGCCTTGCCTTCATTTCTCCTGCCAGAGGACAAGAGTGCTCTCGCAATGGCCCTCCAGAGCTCAGTCCAGCAATTGGCCAGGTTCCTGCAGGTGAGGGGTGATCAGCACAGCACAGGACCCTGCCCAAACAGCTGAGCAACCTGACTGTGTGATGTGTGCCTGACTGCACCATGATTGCATCTCTGCGTAAAGGAGCAGTGAGTTTCATTACATTAATAGTTTTTCTGCCTACTTCTTTGCACTCTAGAAATACGGTATCCTTTTAATCCTCCAGTCTTCAGTGCTGCAGCCCATTTGCTCCTCAGCTGAACCAGGTCTGCTCGTGATGGCCATTGGCTGAGCACTGGGACTGCCCTGCCTCTGGGACTGCCTGCCAGCACTGAGAAAAGGCTTCTGAGATGAGAGGCAACAAGTGTTCTCTGATGGCAACATTAGAGGATGTTTGCACCCAAAACAAAACGGTATCTGTCTAGAATATAAATAAGCATAAACAGGTAACAGTACTGCTCTGTCAACCAGGAATGAGTAACTGAGCTAGGCAATTTCCCAAGCCCATCATAGTCCCTTACACTCTAGAAAGCTGCTATGATCCCGTAATAATCACTGGATGTTAGCTTTCCATTTGGGTAGTTTGTCCAATATAATTCAGCCAGGACTTATGGCTCATCCTTACAATAATAGGTCACCATATGTTTCACATCTGGTCCTTCAGAAAAGCCATATTGCACACGATACCAACTATTTTAGGGTACAGTCTCCAGAGATCCTTAAGTGTGACTAGCAGTCTTGACAGTTTATCAGTTTCATTAATCAGCATTAAAACCTCATTTTACTATTAACAAGCATAATTAGTACTAGTCCAAATGACAACTAAAATAAGCAACTTCACTGGTTTTGTTTTTAGCAAGCTGATAAAGCTGGGTTGTTTCTTTGTTTGTTTGTTTGTTTGTTTTCTAAAATAAAGGCACCTAAAAAGCCAACAGCAAGTCCACCATTTTGCCACCAAAACTCATTTGTCCAAATTAACCTAAGTTCTCCAGTGATGATAGAGCAGAATTGTGTTTAGTCAGACAACAAGGTTAAGGTTATGGACTTCTTCATGTTCGTATCTCTCAGAAATCAGCTATCTGTAGTTTGTAATAGGAGAGGGGGCTGTGTTAGAGTTGTCTGCAGTTTCTGAATATTCACTGTTAGCTGAAGGCTTCAGTCTAAAGTCAGGATCTAACTAGCTTTTATATGAGAGAGAAAAGGCAAAAATAATCCCATTTACAGACAACAGTATGCAGAGAAAATGTCTTCTCTTGCCCCAAACACCACATCCTGGGACCTGCTGGTATTTGTAGCTTGAAACACTTCGTTTTCTATAGGTTTACTATAGAGGATTGAAACTTGATACAAATTCTTTATGTGAAAAGTATTTCACATGAAGTTTTCCTGTGAGAATAAAACACAGGAGCCTCCATTACTCACTGACTGCCTTGCACAGTTTTGTGCACATCTTTTGTTCTTAGCCTGTGTCCTAACAGCCTTTTCTCAACATACCATCCCCTAAGATATTAATAAGAGGAGAGTATGCAGAGTGCAGAACTATTTTCTAACTTTCAGTAGTCCGTATTGTGAGACAGCTCCCTGCAAGAAGTCAGCCAGGCAAGCTGTGAAAAATCTTTACAAAGAGCCAGAATGCAATAATTTGGTTCTCTTCTCCATTACTCGCCAAACGAAAATTCTCCTTGTGCTCCACACAGTGCAGTCTGGCAGCTTTTTAACATCACCAGCTTGGGGGGTGCTTTCGGAAGGACTCCCTTGTGTGCCACTGCTGAATGGGCCGGCACAGCAGGCCCTGTGCTCTTCAAGTAAAATGCTTTTTTCTTCCCTATTTAAAGAAGAGTTTCTTTCCATTACGTTTAGCGAACATTTGGGATTTCTGGACCCCAGGTGGAATATAACAGGAAGGTATATGTGCTGCCTTCAAACCTTGGGGGGATAAGGGCTAATTTCCAGGTGGCTCATTATAACAGGAAATTGTCTAAAAGTGTTGTGAAATTCTGGACATGCCTTTGCTCTGCATATGCCTGGTGGGCCCTTCTTCCAAGAGCAAAGAATTCCTTCAGTACTTACAGTCAAAATTTCCCCTTTTCTTTTTGATGGGCAGAAAGCTGTTTGATCCTTCCAGCATGAGGGTGGCTAATTTAGTATGGGTTTGGTGAGCAGCTTTGGGCACTTTGCATCACAGCGAATGACATAGACTACTTCCTTTGTAGCTGCTTCTGTGTCATAGCTACAAAGGCAGGAAAGGCATTTATTCCAATAGCTGCAGTAAGACTGGATTTATTCCCTATCTCACCTTCAGATAAATACTGGGGTACGTAGTGTGGGTCCTGACCCAGAGCCACACTGTGATGTCCTTTTCTGGGCCACTGCTGTCGGTGCAGGCTGGCTCCCTGTCAGGCTGGGATGTGGAGCAGGAGGCAGTGGAAGTGGTTTGAAAGCTGTCACTTCTGCGAGCGCCCAGAGCTGTGATGCTAATCAAGAGAAAGGCAGGAGATGGACTGGGTTCTTTACATGAGCAGGTCTCCAGGGGTTGAAATTTATTTTAAGGTTGTGCTTATTTTTAGAGCGTTTCTTGCTGTTGTTGTCAAACCTATGCTAAAACAATTACTGTTGCTGAGGGTCACCAGGAGTTCAGCCGTGCTGAAAACCTCCCAGCACCGCTCCGAGGGCCTGCATGGCCAGGCAGGGCAGCCCACACAGACACCGTCGCTTAAAGAAACAGCAGCTTCTTGCCTTCCCTCTTTCTACTTGTAAAATGAAAAGCATATTTGAGCCCTTTTACCTTGTGTCATCAAGGCACATTGCCAAAATCCAGTTCCAGGTACCCCTGCACCAGCCCTGCCATGCCCTTGCATGACCTGGCTGCTCTGTTCTTGGGCTGTTCCAGTGCAGCCCACGAGACAGGCTCTCCAATAAAGCAAGATAGAGACAAACTAAAGCCATAACAAGAACCAAACCCAAGTCTTCCAAGGTAGCCCTTCAAACACGCTCCCCCCGTGCTCAGCTGCGGGCCTCAAACCACTGCGTTTCTGTCTGGCCAAAGTGTGTGCAAAGGGACAGACTGCTGTCTGCACGCCTCTTTGGTTTAATTCTCCCATTTCCTAACTGATACACAAAATCATTTCTTAAGTGACATCATTTTTACATTTAGAAGAGTTAAGATACTGATTTTTCTGGTCAGTCCATTGGCTGCGGAATCACTAAGTGATGCAGGGCAGCTGTTCCTGCACTTTTAAAGTGTTACTGCTGAGAACTTTATACATATAAAGGCATAAATAAACCTGCACTAAGAAGAAAGAGTGTGGTAGAAACAGTGGAGATCCTGGGCTGTCTGTTCAAGGCAAAGACAAGAACTTTCTGAAGATGTGACAGAGCACCATGGCTCTCCTCTCCACCAGCGAAGGACTCAACAATCCAAGTAAGCACTGTATTCCTTGTATTTAAACCACATTTATTCTTTTCAAGGCCATAAAAAGCAGAACACGTGGGAGGCCATATCTTCCCCCAAAAGGTTTATGTTTTGGCAGTTATGCTTCAAATGAGAGTGGGACAAAAGTTGTTGCTCTGGGGAGGGAGGAAGGATTTAAACAACAAAAAATTTAAAAAACTGCCTGCTTTCACTTACCTGATGCACTTTCTGAAGCAGAGCATTGACTGCTGTAAATCTGCATGCCTTGCTGAGGAGCTGTACTGTTTCAGATGGAAAGCTACTTTACATGTTTTTGTGCATTTGTGTATGTATTTTATATATAAATGCAAAATGACATTGTTTTCACTCTGTGTGTGTGTGTGTCTATACATGCATATATGTATACATACACACCAAAATGTGAAAGAATGTGCTGATATTTTGTACCTTGACATGCATGCACAGCAGCTAAGGCACCTGGTTTCATGGGACATGTGCACACACATGCAAGGACAGTTACTTTAGAACTGTTTTTGTTGTATCCAACCAGGAGGATTTTTAATAGCAGTACTCAGGAAGCTGCAAGAGAGATTTGTTTTCAGTTTCTCAGCCATTCATGAAAAATATCTGCTCATGGATTAACTTGCTTATAAAGTCAGAGCTCTGGTTGTAAGCAATCTTCAGCACAGGCCTCTTATATGATATAGAAGAGTTGCACTTCTCACCACAAACAGATTTTATTGGGTACTGGGGAACTGCAGTGAAACAGGTGCAAGCCTGATCCTGCAGCCAGTGGAGTCAAAGTTTTTGCCACAAATCTCAAAACTGAAGATGACACCAGCTTCTGGTGGAAATAGAGGATGTTTTGTTCTGTGATCAACATGCTTATACATAATAATTAAAAGTGTGGGTACCAGACAAGCACAGCAGATTCAAAGTAATTTCTCGATGGAGAGACTGGCGCCTTCGGGAAAGGGTCAGTCTTTATTGCCTGTGATGGTGCTGTCAGCATAAATAATTATCATGAACTTCAACTTCAAGCAATCAAACTTCATTGTATTGAAGGAGCCCCATTAAATGCTTAGATTGTTCTTAATTTGATCTAGTGCGGTCAATTCCCTCGGGAAAGAGAGGCTGAAAAAAATCAATATGCCATCGCAAAGGAAGCAGAGGTGTTCTGTCTCATCTAGCAGAGGAAGGAGAACCATCTGAGGAATGGGAGCCCATCTCGTCCTGCTGAAACAAGAGTGATGTATTTTCTGGATGTGGAAGATGCTCATCAGAAGCACTGGAACCACTTGGAGCAGATGACAAGTTTTGAAGGTAACTTATCAGCTGAGATAAATCAGACTCAAAGAAGTATTTCTTCCACAGTAGCGCTCAGATAACATGTAAGCCTCCTCTCTTCCTTTCCCAGTTCTTCTTATCTAGCTTGTCTGACTGATCTGCCCTGCCAGTGCTCTCCCACTGCTTGCTGCGTGCAGCTGGCGACTGCTGGGGCAGGCACTGCTGCTTCTGTCCTTGGGGAGAGGCACAGAGCAGAGAGGCTTCAGTGCATCCTCCCTTTATTTATAGTTCTGCAAGTCACATTAAGCTGCTGGTTCCAATTTATTTGTTTTAATCTCCACTTTCTCAGCGGAGATAGTGGAATAACTGCATGTTGAAAGGGAAAGATCCTGGCTTCATGGGCAAAACTATGAATTGCATAGAACCAGCCTTACTATTCATCATACTTAGGCCTATTTAACTGTCCTGCCTGACCTGTATAAGCTCCCCTAATTGAGCTCCATTTTCTACCTTAAGTATCTTTCACTGTGAACTTCTGCTGTAGTACTTGTTGCAGCTATGCTAGAGGACATTTTAAAAGTTGAAATAATTGGCACAGTTTTGTTTTTTAATTAAAACTGCTTTTATTTCTTCTCCATTAAATATTGCCCCCTGTCACCTTGTAGTTATTCTTTTAACGCAGTTCATACTGAAATTTTTTGCCCAACAGTTTGAAAGTAGAGCTGTAGGTGAAAAACTAACTTAAAAAAAAAGCAACCACATAACAGAGAAATATTAATAAATCCAAGGCCATTTATAAAGTAAAACTATTTTCTATTTGCAAGCTTGCCTTACCTGCCTGATTGCAGCAGTGCGCATTGCAAGTGCGCGTGGAACTTCTGAGGTCTGAGTTTTCTGCCAAAAAGAAAATTCTTCTGGATTGTGTTATGGATAACCAAATTAGTTTTATGTCAGAGATATTGCAAATGGCACAAATGGAGATTATACAGAAAAATATCATATTTCTCTTTCTCATCATTGGTTGAATATTGGAAAACATTACTTTGTTCAGAGCAGGCGTAACAACCCTGCTCTTTCCAGTTGGCTTCAGCAGACAAAAGATGGCTTGCCCTTACTCCTCTATGGTAAAGAAAGACAGCAGGCTTTCACAGGACTTCAGCTTTTCCCCTAGAAGCGAGTTCAGAGTGCATCTTAAATCCACAGTGAGCAGATAGTCAGCTTTCCTTGGCCTTTTCAAAAGAGATGAACAAAACTTGTAGCCTGCTTGTAGCAAACAGCCACCTTTTTGTGTGGGAGAAGATGGCTTTTGACTGACTGACACGGCAGGTGCCGCGGGAGCCAAGACAATTCTGCATTTCAACCGATTGTTGTCACTACCAAAGCCTATTATCTAGGGTAATAAAGTTTAAGATTAAGGGGATTCTGCATGTTTGTGTTATTCCCCACAAAGCTTATCTTCTAATAGACCAGCTGCTTTATTGCACTTTGCCCACCCCTTCTCATTGTATGGAGAAGCCGCGTGCACAAATGGGAATGCACTGAGGCAGGCCTTGGCTACCAGCTGGGAATATCGTATCGCCCCCAGCCTCCATCTGGGGGTATTAAGTTACCATCAGTTGCCAGCTGGGAACATCGTGTCTTGCACCTCACCCAGCAAAGCACATCGCATTGCTCTCAGCTCCTGCTGAGGTCAGGACCAGGTTGCATTCCCACTCTTCCTCTCTGGGACTTGGGTGCTCAGCATGCAGCATTTCTTGCTCTGCTAGCCTGCAGCAAGCACACCCGCTTCCTGCTGGAGATGCAGGTATTCAGATGAAGAAGTCTTCTCATTCTTTTCTCTGGCATGTGCCCTTGGAAAAAAAAAATGTCAAATTTCTGTAGCAGAAAGTATTCAGATGAAACTGCCAGCTGTTCATCACTCTGAGTATCTATGCTTTTCTTTCCTTCAAGTCTTAAATCTTGCATTCTCTGAAGGCCACAACATTAAGATAGTGTTGCCACAAGTCTTGTACCAAACAGGCAATCAGCTAACCTCAGGTCGGGATGCAGTGGGATACTCTGTGCATCTCCCTCACTTCCATTTTTTTTTCCTCTCTGGATATACCCAAATGCACTGTAAGAAATAGCATCTGCTAGCATAATACCCTGCATTCCTCACAGTGCCCAGGAGATGGTTAAAATAACGTTAGCATTTCACTTCCAGTCCAGAGATCTCTCAGTATTTAAAAGGGACATAAACTGGAAGAACGGGAGCCTCCTGAAATTCAGCAAGTACACACGCAAAGCTTTGAGCCTAGAAGGAACTTGCCTGTTGGAGCAGGTGTGGTGAACACCAGGCTGGAAGAAAATGTGGGCACTTGCGAGAGACTTCCAGCACAAGATAGGATGAAGTGAGGATGGCTGAGATGATCCAGGGCTGGAACACCTGCCCTGGGTGGAGAAGCTGCTCTTGTTGGACTTGGAGAAGAGACAGATGTGATGGAATCTAGCAGCAGCTCCCCAAGAAAACAAACAAGTGGTGCCTGGCTCTTCAAAGGGGTGCACAGTGGAAGGACAAGAACTGTCTTAAATTGAAATCTGAGAGGTTCTGAGTGGTAGAAGAAAGTCTTTTTCACCATGAAAACAGAGCAGTGGTACAAGTTACTCAGAGATGTTGTACATTTCTATTCAAGATCTAGCTGAATAGAGCAGCAGTAGGTGCCTTTGCCTTTGCATGGATAAGGCTTTCTACTGGCAGCTCCATTGCCTGCTTTTCACTTGCAACTCTGCACCCTCTCACCCTGGCTGCCAGGGCCGTGCTTCCCAGCCTGCCTATGGTAGTGTTTATCACTTGTTGTCACACTCATGTTCTCATCCTACTGTGCTCATGGCAAAGCCCAATATTGCTGTAGCTGCTTCTCATGGGCTGTGATTGCCACCAGCATGAGCATCACTCCCACCTTTTCTACTTTTCTCGTTCGGTTGTAGCTTTAGGATTACTTTGAGAGCTCAAATAATACACAGACATGAAGCTTAACAGCCAACAAGGAGTTTGAGTGGGTGTGGATGAAAACTTTGAGGCACAAAAAGGCACTAGCTGGCCTCTGTATTGTCAGCAAATTCTGTATTATCAGCAGTAGGAGTGTCCTGAGCAGCCCTGCTGGTAACATATGGGGAGGAATGCTATGGCTTGTCAGAGTCTCTGTAGTACATCTCAAGCATTCAATATCAGCTCTTCTGATACTTTATAGTTACAAAATGAAGACTAGGGATGACACGTTTGGTCTTTGGGGATAGTATTACCTTTAATTAACAGGTAAAACTACCTCTGATTTAGAAACTGCAGCATCTTTGGGATTGAGTCACAGTGTATGAATAAACTGGAGTTTCAAAACAGCTTCAGACATCACTTATTTCTGTCCCTGATTCAGACACACTCTCTTGATACTGGCTCAAGAAAACAAGCACATTACAGATCAATATACTTTAGGGAACAGGTTGGAGGAAGAGAGAAAGAGTAATGGTGAGATGATTCTCATATTTCTTTGATACCTATTAATATTGCCTTGGTCACAATCTGCAGACCTAAACTTCAGAATAAGGTAGATCTTTGCAGCAAAATGCATAACACTTGTGAGCTAGAGGCCCTGTGAGTGTCATTTATTGGGAAAAAAGGGAAGAAAGAGTGGCAGTTATGAGCCAAAGTGACTCTTCATTGTCTGGAGGACTTGGGTTCTTCTATTCTGAGACATCTGCATCAGTAATACTCTATTAAACATAGGTAATAAGGTACACCGCCCTCAAAACTTAGACTAGGTAACACTAGGTAAGGATTAATCAAATATCAACCAAATGTGAGAAGAAATCAGACAGGAAATTTTCCCTTTGGTGATTCACTTTTGGGAAAGATCTAGTCTGTCTAAGCAGAAATTGAGCTCAGAGCACACGCTGTAAATACGCTACAGGGACAACGCTGCAGCTCACACTCCTGTAAGCTGCTTTATCATAAGGCAACAGCACTTAATTTAGCTCTTAATAAAAAGTGTCAGAAGATTAAGACCAAGCTGAAAATTTCTACCGCCATCCTGGGATTTAGAGGTTATTTTGAAATCATTAATACAGCCACTATTTGAACTCTTGATCATGGAGTATTAAATTCATCCATAAGTACATAAATCATAAGACATAGGAAAGCTGGGCTACGCAGCACAGGCAGGCCTTTTAAACTTGCTTTTCTCATCTTTGCCAGCAGTTGTAATGTATTTTGTCGTCTCCTGAACTGCATAAAGGAGCAGTGCTATGGCCCTCCCTATGAAATTCATGCACTGAATTCCCAGGTGACTTATTTCCCTCCCTATGACTCCCTGGTTTAATTTGTACCACTCCTGAGCACAGAGGAGCAGGCCTGGCGTTGCCCCCTGCTCTTTGCAGCAGGCAGCTGTTTCTGAAGTACGTTTAGATGATCTGGATGGTTCTTGATACATTTGCAGTGTCCTCTAGTTGTGATACCCTGGAAAATCAAGGTGTGCTGAAAGAAGGTGAGTTACGTTTCTTGGCTCAGTGTAGTTACGTACTTCCTCATTCCACAGGGGGGTTTGGGTGCATTATGTATTCCTGCATGGGCTGTGCATTCCTGTTGGGCTGTGCATTAGGGGTGACAGGGCCATCAGGCACTCATCCCTCCTTCCTTTGCACTGGCAGCAGCAGACGAGGTGGTTCAAAAAGGCAACATCAGTTCTACTCTGAGGTTTTTGTTGACCATCAGGCTTATTTTTTGTCACGCTATGATCTTGCTTGTGTACATGGCTTTTGGATTTCTCCATCAAGATTGTATTCTGTATTTTATTATGCTGTTGTTGTCGTAGTCCATGGCTATGAGAGCAGTTCTGACTTGCACACACCACAGCAATAGGTTTAAGCACCTGATCCTTGGGCTGTGGCAATAAGGAAGACAACTTTGCTTTACTTTTTAAACGAAAATCACCCTCTAAATTCAGAAAGCTCAACTGCTTATTAAACTGTTTATTCAAAATATAGTCTATATTGGAAGTAGACAAGCTAGCACAGCAGTCAGAGAAGTCTAACAGCAAATGTTTTGTTCTGGAAGTTCTTAACAAAAAGCAGTAGATCAGACAAATGATTGTGCTGATGAGCATGTTTAGTTGATGCTTCCTTCTGACAGCTGCAGCCTTTAAGACAATGGCCATGTTTTCTTCTAGAAACAGCTCGTCAGAACAATGACCCTCACAACACAGATTCCCACAGAGAAATTCATATTTTCCATTCCACTCCAGAGAGTATTTGGATAAAACTGCCACTCTACAATATTATTCCACTGTGTCATATTCTTTTTTTTTTTTTTTCCTTCGCATAATATTTTTCTACCCTTCAAATAAGGATTCCTATGAAATCTCTGCTTGCCATTGCAGAAAACTGTTGTTTTGGGTTTTTTATCCAAGCATCCCTTGCCACAGCGCTGACAGCTCAGGTTACATTAGGAGATCTCTTAGGAGGTGAAGTGGACTTAGTAATGCATCCGACTTTCATTACTCAGCCAGATTGTGGAATCTATCAATTATCCCCACATTGACAGTCTAGTGAATTAATTGGCGCGTTTGACAAGGACAGCTATTACCCCGTGTTGTTCTGACAGCTGGGTTTGATATCAGAAATTTGTCAACCTTCGCCTCCATGTAAGCTGCTGGATGAACAGATCAGCCCAGGACATATCAAGATTTTTTTTTTTTTTTTTTTTGTGCAATCTCAACATCTGGCGATAACCTAAGCCCTAAATAAAATCACAGACATTCATAACATCCATAAGCAAACAGCACACCAGACCCGGGCCATAAAACAATCCACTGTCCTGGCTGACAGAATGTTCAAGGAGTCAGAAAACTAATTTATTATCAGAAAAGTTAGCACCCTTCAGTAATGACTTTCCACGTGTCCTTCAGGTTCCATTCATACTTGCAGGGTGGGAGTATTTTCAGTTTCTCTGAGTTCAGAGGTGACAAGGCAGCTGATAACTTAAACTTCACCTCACTTAGGTGGCAAGCTTTGGGTGGTAGCTCGGTGTAAGTTGGAATGCCCAACTGGGATCTGTGCTGTGCTCTGATTGCTGCTGCTCCTGTCTGAGACAGCCAGCACTGACAGTTTCTAATTTTCTGTCTTCTCCATGGCTACTCACACGAGCTTCTCCCCTGCCTTTTCAGACCAGATTAGAGGATGACTCAGAACTTTAACAAAGAAAACAACATGCAGGAGTTGGCTGTGGCTCAGTGGCCTCACAGCAGTTGTCGGTCTCCATCCCTCCTTCCTTCCAAGGAACAACGTGGCCTTTCTCCAGCTCTGCCTTGGTGACTGCCATGCCCCCATCTTTCCCCTCCAGCAGGATTGCCCCTGCAGGTAAAGGCAAACAGACTCACCCTGCAGCCTAAAGTATCTCAGGTGGGAGCCCTCCGATGTGGAAATTCATTAGGCCCAAGATACAGCACTGGTCATGCTTGGAAGTTAATTTGTAAACAATTAGTGTGTGTTAAAGCTATTAGAGAGTCAGGGCTTACAGCAGCTCTATAAAACAGCAAAGAAAAAACTTCTTATTCCCAGCTCAAGCAATCAAGCAGCAGCTAATTGGGTTTTTCAAGGCCATGTGGCAAACTGCATGTGTACCAGCAAAGGGAGCCAAATACTTCTGTGCAGTATTGCAGCCCCAAAGCAAGCATCTTTTCCTTGGAATAAAATGATTTCACTTTTTAAATAATAATCTGGAGAACAGGTTGTCAGCATCTGTTATCCAGATTATCTTAAGGATGAGGTCAGACACGAATGGATGTTGATCTGGGCTCAAAAGCTGTCAAGGAACAGCTGTGTCTGACTGACAGCACCCCAAAACCCCCATTGGCAGGGCTCCAGAGGCCACTGGTCCTGTGGGTTGGAGGCCAGCACACTCAACACGGAGCTCCCCAAGCTGGCAAGAGACAAAACATCGAGCCCCAGTCTCAGCATTTTGCTTCGGAGAGCTAAGCATCTGTCTCCACTTAGATTGCATCTAGGCAGCCTTTCTCCTGTATTTCCCTTCCTTGGGAAAGCAAAGAAGAGGAGATCACCCCTCCTTCCATCAGCCAATAGTCTGTGGGTTAACATGGCTCTTGGTGGAAGTTTAGCACAAGCCAGTATTGGAGTGCACAGCTCTAAAGATCTCGGCTAACTCTGACTATGCCAGCAGCATTTAGCAAGATTTATTGATAGGCACCTAAGGAATTAAAGCACAGTGGCTCAGAGGCAGCTGAGCAGGGGGCTGAGGTCTTGTTCCCTCCTAAGCAGTTAGGTGCTCAGCCTGTCATGCACTGCCCACCCTCCCACACTGCAGAGGCTTTAAATCTGTTTCCTGATATCCCACGCTGCTCGGGAGGCCTGAGATGAATCTAGTTTTAAATACTGCCAAAATCATGGTGTGGTGAAGTGTTACTGCCAGGAATAGCAGTTGGCTGAAAGCTTCAAAATGTTGAATGACCACATTATCATAAGATCTAGAAATTACAGGTCTTTTCAAAAGAAAGCAATGCAATTATTTATACCATACTAGTTTTGATAGCACGTGGTATAAAGACTCAGTCATTTGATGCTTGGTAAAAAGATACTTAAGAATGGCATATGACACTTTGGCAGGAAAATAGCTGTAATCAGTTCTGTTTTCTTTGACCAGGTCACATGTTGGTGGATCAGGAGCTCGTTCAATCCAGTAGACAGACACACAGCTAAAGCTGAACTTCTTCAGCAGCTACTCCAAGAAAAGTGAATGGTAAGAAGTTATGGTTATGGCATGTTCAGAAAATGAGCAGTAGGTGATCTGGCAGGCTCAGTCCCACAGATCCTTGTAGGAAAACTTTACCTCATGCCAGTCAGTTGTTCAGCTCCCCAAGACAAGGGGCTGCTTGCATCTGCAAGAATTTCCAGTGCTGAGCTGCAGGGCATTTTTCTTTCCATTGGAACAAAAACTGTGATAGTGCCTCAGCCTCCTACCATAAAAAAATGGACTGATGATTTTTGTTCTGCATTTTGTCCCCCAGAAAAATGAGAAGTGGAAAGATTGCAAGGGAAACAGGTTGCTTATTCTTTTTGCATCTGGCTGCTAACTTGGTATGAACTGCACACCAAGAGCTGGAAATGGCCCATGGGCAAAACATATCAGAATCTCCTGCAGGTATAATATGGCAAGTTTGGTGACATCGCCTTTGAATTAAGTGGTAATTTTAAAGATAACCAAATCAACAAGCAGAGAATGTTACAAAAATTAAAAGCAGTTTGATGGTGAAATGTTTAAATTTTGGAGGCGCTACATTAAATTACGCAGCCATACATCAAATGAATTTTCAAGTCAGAGTGACCTTTGCTTAATGCAAATTGAAATAATCCTAGTTTATGAAATATTTGTTGGTGTGAAAAAAACAACATATGATACACTTAGATTTTGCCTTCTAAAATACTTATTATAGTATATTAAAAAATACAGCCTGGTAAGCATTCATTAGCTGCAAAAGAAGCACAGGGATGTGTGCATTTATTGCAACAAACCAAAGTGTTAAATTACCTGAGCTAGAACAGCAGTAGTAGATTTCTTTCAGAAAAAAAAGGCTGCTCAAATAGACACAGGCTGTAAGATTACCTTTAAAATGTTTTACTGTGGACCTAAAATAGCTACCCAGCTTTAAAAAAAAAAAAAAAAAAGAGAAGGGGAAGGAAAAAAAAAAAAGAGGGTGAGAAAGAGAACATAATTTCAAAACCCTTAGCTTATTTTTAATTTATAGTCCTTGGAAAAAAAATAAGTGGATAGCCCAATCATTTATATGCCTGGGCAAAAGCAATACATCTATATAAAAGTACAGTGATATATTTCTGTTGCTAGTTTAATGTGCTGCTCTGTGCCCTGCGTGTTCTGATTCATTGGAGAGCAGCAATCATGTCGACAGGAGCTGTTCTTCAGTTCCCATCAGCGACAACTAAAGGCCAATTCAAGGTTGTGGTGGGGTCATGAATCTAACACAGTCACTGATGGAACAATTTCCCTTCCACATGACACCGTCAGTGGGACACAGAGGGAATATACAGCCAGGACTGCAGCAGGTATGTCTTGTTATTCTCATCCCTCCTCTCCCCCCTTCCTTTTTTACTTTTAATTTTTGATGCTGGGCTCTGCTGTTAAGAAGCCTCTGGGGCATACACAGTCAGGAAATAAGAAGAGGGGAAACTTCTCAGCCTTTCAGAAACTAGCATCCTCCTGGTCTCTGTGCAGAGCAGCTCAGCAATATGAGCTCAGTCTGAGAGCCAGATCCACCCCAAGACAACGCGCGCTGTGCAACCATGCCAGCCTTTTAAACGAGGAGCTCTGCAAGCTCTGCAGTGACCTCACTTCTGGTACTGTACCTTTTCAATTAATAGAAAGGGCATTTTTATTTGGATCGAACCCTACCAGAGTCACTAGCCTTTCACAGCACGAAGCTTGGACCTGAATTTTGCCTGACACATTCTTTTCACACATTTGTAGTTGATCCTTCCAAGGGACTTGGCACAAGCCTGGAACAAGCCCCAAGAAGAGAGCCAGCTCCTGCTATTGTTTCTGCCATACATGTCCCAGGGAGAGCAGATTTTGGACCAGATGAGTAATATTTCATTCTCATACCACTATTAGTCATGGTGGGTATACAGCATCTGACAGGTTAGCACAGTATAGCTGAGAACCTTCAGTTAGAACTGCAAATTCTAATCTCTAGCAGTGGGGCCCACATTGAGGAGCATTTTTATTGCGCTGATAGAAACAGTGAACACAGTAAGCACCACATTTTGAAAAATTTCTTCCAGTACCTAAAGCCTTAAGACTACGCAGATTTCTGCCTTCCATATTAAAAAAAAACAACAACACAACAAAACACTAAAAACAGACCTGTAAAATCATGGAATCATAGGATGGCTAAGGTTGGTAGGGACTTAAAAGATCATTTAGTTCAGACACCCTGCTGTGTGTAGGGTTGCCATTCATTGGATCAATCTGCCCAGGGCCCCATCCAACCCATCCCCAGTACTCCAGGGCTTCATGAGAGCAGAGGGGGACAATCCCTTCTCTTTTCCTGCTGGCCTCTGCCCTTTTCATGCAGCCCAGGATATTGTTGGCCTTCCGAGCTGCAAGAGCATACCTCTGGCTCATCTCCAGCTTTCTGTCCATCAGGACTCCTAAGTCCTTCTCCACCGGTCTCAAAGTCTTCTTCTCACAGGCTGTACTCAGATCTGGCATTGCCTCAATCCAAGTGCAACACCTTGCACTTGGCTTTGTTGAACCTCACTAGATTCTCATACGCCCACTTTTCAAGCCTGTCCAGGTCCCTCTGGATGCCATCCCTTTCTTCTACTTTATCAACTGTACCACTCAGCTTAGTGTCATCAGCAAACTTGCTGAGGATACGCTCAATCCCATGGTTTATGTTGTTGACAAAGATGTTGAAGTATACCTATCCCAAGATAGACCCCTAGGGGACACCACTCGTGACCGGCTCCACCGGATATAGAACCACTGTCATCAACCCTCTGGCTACAACCATCCAACCAATTCTTTATCCACTCAATAGTCCATTCTTCAAAACTATCTCTCTTCAATTTAGAGATAAAGATGTCAAAGGCCTTGTGCAACTCCAAGTAGATGACCTCAGTTGTCCTTCCTTTGTCCACTGATGCTTTCCACCAGATTGGTCAGGCATGATCTGCCATTGGTGAAGCTGTGCTGACTATCTCGGATCAGTTCCTCATCTTGCATGTGCCTTAGCATCTCTTTCAGGCAGATAAGATCCATGATCTTCCAAGGAAAATGTGTCCATGGAGATCTAGACAACTTTCTCAGCCCCAGAGATGGCCCCTTTAGGCTGGGACTCTCTGAAAATCTACTGCAAATTCTATCATTATAATTCTATAATCTATTAAATTCTATCATTATAATTCAATGAATTCTATCATCATAAAATCTATTCTATAGATCTGTTACAAATCCTACGATTCTGTGATTGTGTGAAAAGCAAAACCAGGACAGCAATGGTGGGCCTATGTCTGTGCAGGGCTATAAATGTAGGGCTTCGACACCCAGTGTGTCACACCCTTCCCAGCTGCAAGTACTGAAATCACTGTGTTCCTGGGAAACACTGAAACAAAATTAGCAAAAAGTTCAAAAAGCTCAGATCTAAAAATATAACTGCAATTCACAATTCCCTTTAATAGAACTTTATTCCTGCACTTGGTGTAACTGAAGGTATTTATAGACAGGGTAAATAGATGGAATGGAGATTTGTATTTATGAATAATAAAGCAGCCCTGTGAATGGGAAGAAGCAAAGTTGTATAACACCACCTTCTGCAGTAATGTCCCAGCAAGGACGGGAGCTCCGGTTCTGGCTCAGTCCTGGCAGCTGTACACAGCCGTGTCGAAATACACAGCGGTTTTACCATCCATCCCCTTTTAGCTGACAGTGACCAAGAGCCCTCCAGGCATAACCACAGCACACGTGGGCTGGGAGGTGACCACGCGCTCCTAGGGGCACCGTGTTGCTGTGAGCTGTGGCCTTGGGCAGCACGGTCACGCGTGGTCCTTGGGCTCAGGGCAGAGAGCTGCACCAGTCTGATTTCACTCGTGTTAAAAGTAGTCTGAAAATGGAGACTTGGGTCCCTCTCATTATGTTAGATCTGTGCTGGCAACTGGATTAATATTAAAGCGACGTACACCGTACACACGCAACTCACATTTCCTAGGTTACAAATAACTGGAGCAAAGCAAATATACCAACATTAATAATTCAGCGTAAGAGTTTAGCTCGTTTTTCTTTTATGGAACTTCTACAAGCAGATTGCAATTTCCTCAGATTTATTCATTATTCAGATTCAGTCAACAATTTAAAAGAAATGTTTACTTACTAGATAGCCTGTGGTTTGCTTCCCGTGTCACCAGTCAGTTTTGTAACTTGAACTGTTAATCATAATAATGTAATTAAGTCATCTGATACGATTTCTGTCCCTTGGCTACGTCAAAATTTAATTCTTTGGGGAGAAACTACCATCCACATGTGCATAAAGATCAAGTTTCTACAAACATTATTGTGTCCGAATTCATCCGCATGCGTGCCAACTAAGAACTGAGCTGTTCAGATGTGTGACAAATGATCATTAAAACAGGCAAAAGATCTTCATTTCCTCACTTCTCTGTCAAGTAAGAAAATAAATGTTCCTTAGCTGTGTTTAATCTCTCCTGCTACATGCTTCTTCCCCTTCTCCACTGGTTCTGCATGTAGAAAGTTAACAAATAAAAAGCTACTGGCAACAATGAGAGACCTTTTACTGGCATCTCAGCAGAAGCCTTTGAGTTTCTGAAGATCCACAGCCACAACACCAGCACTGAGATGGAGAAATGAGCCTGGCCGAGAGCCTTCCACCCCAGGCTGTCACAGGAGGCTGTCAGCTTGCAGAATGACCTGGGAAATGACAGTGGTGATGACAGAAAAGAGAAGAGCTCCTGGTTATTCTGTGCTCTGTAGTCATCCGCCCCTCCGTGGCCATGGTCCTACTCTCAGCTGAGCCCTGCTCTCCAAACTGAGCAAAGCTCTTCTGCAGAGCTGAGTCACAGCAGAAGCCACAGCGCTGTTCAGGAGGAGGTGAGAAACCAGGATGTGTAGGCTACCCCCAGAGGGCAGGGGTTTCTTTCCCTACATCTATTTAGTCTTCAAAGCTGCAGTGCTCTCTCTGCGTTTTTGGAGGAGGATTTAGAAAGTGG